TTTCGTCACAAAATTGATATCAGAAATTTTGTGTTTCAAATTGTTTGCTTCGTCACTCGTTCTTCACCTCGATAGAGGTTTTTTATTTGATATCAAAAATACAAAAAAATCAACACATTTGAGGAGGAAAGAAAACCAAAATTATTGAAGTTATTTGTTGAAATATCGTCGAAAACAGTAAAAAATCTGGGCGAAATCCGGAGTTTTTCTGCCATATCCGTGCATCCGGGCCGGGCGATTTTTCGTCCGGGTTTGGCCTCGAAAATCCGGGCGAACCCGGATTTATCCGGGCGATCTGGCAGGCTTAGTTTAAGAGCAAAGTCACACAATTGTGCAAACACAATGTGCTAAGTAGTCTCTCCCTCTCTTTCACTCTCTATCCCTGTTGTTCGTGTGCTGAACCATGTTGTCAATGCAACGTTAATACGATAGTGTGTATCCAACGATGATTCCTTCGTTGCTCTGCTCTGCTTATTCTCACTGCTACTACTACTACCAAATCTCAATTTTTGTCAGCAAAGTATTTGATAACGCAGCTTCGTTCAATTCATTTGTGTGATCAAACCATTACTACTTTCTTACATACTAAATAGATTTTGATATTGTGATTTTTTGGATGTAATGGAAAAATAATCGAAAGAAAGGATGGAATAGTAATTTTTAAAGTAAGTATACCTCGGGAATTGCTCGTATTGTACTGTGTTTGCAATATTGCAGTTGCATCTGATGTCGTTACAACGTTTCGTGATTTTAAGTTATATGGCTTCGCTGTACCCATTTGCACATTTTTATTCGTAGATACAGAGTTATTGCGGCCGAATTGTACATGATTTGTACTACGATGACGTGATGGCGTAATTGAAGTGGCTTTTGAGCTTATCAACATTGTTGTAGAGACTGTGGTATTTGAAGTTGTTGGGCAAACTATTGTTGAGGTGTTTGAAACTTTAGTGGAAGTAGCTACTGGATTTCGTTTTTGCATTTCTCGTGCCATGAAGGTCGTCTCCGGAACTGTTTTGTCTTTATTATGTCCAACTTTCAATGCTGTACGAATTGCAATAATTTTTCCAGATTCAAGTTGCATGTAAATTCCTTTTGGTGATTTAAGTACCATCACCTTTTGACCCTCTTTTAGAATAATATTTTGTTTGTCTGCTGAACTTGTTGGAATGACAACATCTAAAAAATTTGAAAAAAAAAAAACGATGTGATGCAATTAACTGTCTCAAAATCTGTCAATAAATTACTCACCCCCTGGTAAAGTCAACACTTGAGCAGTCATTCCTTGGCGTTGCCAAACCTCAGCTGGTATCCAACGGGTAGGCCGAGCTGTTGGATTCCGATTTGTATCAGCTTGAATTGGTCGTACCTAAATGTAGAAATATTCGATGACATTAATTATTTCAATGATAACTTTCTATATTTTTCAACAAAAAGGAAAAAAAACTGTTATTACTTACAGAAGCAACTGGCCGTGTTACAACAACACCATCTGGTCTAGTAGCTCTGTACGTTCCAATTTGTTGTCGATTTGCATTGTAAATTGTATAACTGGGTTTGCTAGCAGCTTGTTTTTCTAATTCGTATCCTCTTTGAGCCAACCGTTTTTCAGCCATTGACAATTTCTTTTCTTTGCGGTCGATAAGCAAGCTTTCATGTTGAAATGGTTCTTTTGTCATTCGTGTTGAAAACAACTCAATCACCTTTTTCATCACAATATCACAATATTTTTCTTTACTTCCACTGAAATCACATACATCGGTTTCTTTTTCATCATCATAACATAAATTAGTTACTTCCTTCATCGATAATCGGGCATCTGGGTTACATTCGTCAATTACGCGGTCGGACATTCCTTGTTTATTGACTTGTCGATCATATATCTTCTTCTCTAAGCAGTTATCCATCACTAAGCGATACACAAAACAAGGTTTCCTCTGTCCGTAACGAAATATTCTACAGACAGCTTGTGTGTCATGACATGGGTTCCAGCTGGCATCAAATACAACCACACGATTGGCGCCAACCAAATTAATTCCAAGTGAACCTGCTCGTGTTGATACTAGGAACAAATGTACATTTTGATTTGAATTAAACTCATTAATGAGTTTTTCACGCTCCTGAGCCCCAGTAGATCCATCCAAACCTTTTGAATTTTTTTAAATAATATCAAAATAAGAAAAATCTGTATATTATATCTAGAGAAATAATCGTAACTTACGATAATAGTTGATATTTTTGGACCATTTGATTTCATTTTCTGTGACTTTAGCTGGATTTGCTTGTAGAAATCGTTCAATCAAATTCAAAGTCAATAAACTCTGGCTAAATATCAACATACGATCACCTAAACTGATCGTCTCCTCCAGAATACAAAAGAATATTTCCATTTTGGTTGAATTTTCGATCAAATCGGGCGTATAGTTTTTCATTAATTCTATAGCCCAGTCGTAGGGTATCCCATCGTCTTTAACTTTTGCGTCAAGCTTTTCTGCATTCTCCTCCTTGATATCAACAAATTTCTTGTCTTCTGTTTCATCTTCATTTCCTTTATCACTGATTTGAGTTTTAATTTTTTCATCTTTTGTTTCACTACTTTGATTCACTACAGTTTCACTACTATTTGTTTTTACCAAATTATTCGTTAAATGATTGCTGTTTTGTTCCAGATTACTATAATTTGATTGCAATAAGTTGCCGTTATGAGCATTTGTTTGTATTTTTGATGTTTGATTACTATTGGAATTTTTTATGGTGCTTGTTGTGTCATCAGATTGATTTGTATTTTTTCCATAAATATTTATTTGGTTTGAGTTGTTATTCCCCGATTGTTGTTGTTGTATTGTAGCCACATGTGGGCCAATCGATGCCGACTGTGGCGAAACTTCTGAAGTAGATATATTCCATTGATTTGAGTTCGTTGATTGATTATAGGAATAATTACTTTGTAGTGTTTGGTTTCCACTTGTTTGAGGAATGTTGTACATTGAGTGGTGATAGTCCATAGTTCCATAAGGTGAAAATGAACCTCCTGTTTGATATTCCATATGTTGTGAATAACCATATTGTTGATTGTTGTGCGAGTAACAAGAAGTCTGTCCAAATTCGCTTTGGTGACCTTTTGAATCGTTGATTGTATTAAAATCATATGGACGTGTTTGTTGCTGGTGTGATTGATTCCAATAGTAACGATTAGGTATCGAAGAATTGGGTTGGTGGTAACTATTGTAATGGTCATATCTATTGTAGTTACTGTATGGTGTACTAAAACCAGACTGTACTGCAGGAGGATATGGATAGTTTGCATGATTATAAGCAGAATTTGATGTTTGCGATGGGTTATATGATGTTCGGTTATATTGTGGTGAATTTCCTGGATTTGAATTTGTAAAATTATGTGTCTCTGGTGGTGGTGGTGGTGATGGTGTTAGTGGAAGTTGTTGTTGTAATTGATCATAAGAGATTTTATTTGTCTTAAGATTTGTATCGGCGTTCGATGTTTCACTTTTAATTCTTTCTGATATTTCAGTCTTTAGATATTCGTTTACTTCCTTTTCACTTGCAGACTTGCCAATACCACCAACTGTATTCGGTGGTACAGATGCTGCCGGTTTCAAATCTGTTTTAATTTCCGAATCCATGGATGAATTCGTTGGTTTTTCGCCTCTTTTATTTTTTTTGTTTGTCGTTTTTTTCTTTGTGTTTTTATTGGTAGTTTCACTTGTAGTAACATCAAATGAAGCATCATTTGCTGATGCCTCGGCTTCTTCTAAATCTAAATCCGCCTCGCGTTTTTTCAAAAAATTATATAATACATCTGGATGATTCCAAATTTTGCAACACACTGCGAATGCTTTGAGAGGATTAGGAACTGCTTTGGTTCGAACCACTTCATTCATAAAAACATCATATAATTTTCGTTGGAATGGTGTCATCCTTACGAGGATTACGAATTCCTCTTTTTGGGGCAATGAATTTTGTAGAACTACATGTGATCGACGCTGAACAAAGCCCAGCAATAGAGAATGGAGCACATGTGCTCGATACCGCATTAGCTTGATGTCTTGTGGTGTCGAATCAATACATTGGCCATTTTGAATAGGTCTTTCGAACATATTTGAAAATTCCGTTTTCGTACCCAAATAATTGGGACGAACAAAGTCTACCATACACCAGTATTCTAATAAATTGTTCTGAAGTGGATAGCCAGTTAGTACAATGCGTCGCTTTGAACGAATTTGTTTCAATGCGACCGATATACTTGCATGCGAATTCTTTATACGATGTCCTTCGTCACAGACAACTAAATCCGGGCCTGGTTTGACTAAAGCAGCATGCATTTCATCTAATAATTTTTTATGTTCCTCAGCTTCACGTTCCTCAACTTCAGGATCAATTTTTGTTTTACGACCTCTTCGTTTGGTTACCTTCTTCAAACTTAAAAGTCGATATAATTCATATCCAATCAATAGGACGCCACCAGATCGTGCCCATTCCAATACAATTTTTGATCTTGCATTCAAAGTTTTATGCGTATCATTCAATACAAATAGTTTGAAGTTACGTGGACGAACTTCACCTTGTGCTTTTAATGGTGAATTTTCAGCGTCTTCAGGTATCCACATATTAAATTCGGCCAACCAATTTTGTAGTGTGTTAATCGGCATAATACATAGAATAGTATTTGAATTAGTATGTCTCAAAAAAATATCAATAAAACACACAAGTTGCAGAGTTTTCCCAAGTCCCATAGAATGAGCTAGAATGCAACCGAACCCAGTTGATGTACTAAATCTTTCTACTGATTCAATTATGTTATCAAACAAGAAGCGTACGCCACCAATTTGATGCGGCTTGATTATACGAGCTATTTGTGGTGCTAAGAAAATATCATTTTCGCCCTCTGGATGACCAATATTTATTACAACTCGTCCTTGTTCATCTGGAACATTATACGCATCGTTCACATGTAGACCACTATTTTGTGGATCATCATCTCCTTCATCTTCTTCTTCGTCATCGGATAACCTATATGGATAAAACCGTTATTAAAATAATTCATATTATAAAATGTAACAAGTAATAATTTCTAAAAAGTAAGTCGTACATAATACAGTCGTCATCGGAACTATCATCAATTGTTACAATATCTTTTTTTGGCTTCAGTTCAATGACATCATCATCGTCCTCTTCATCATTGTCTTCATCCGTAGATTCTTCTACAATAAGAAGACCATCAGATGGTTTATCCAATTTTTCGTCAGAATCCAAGTCCACTTCATTTTGTATTTCAATACTCCCCGATATATCGGAAATTTCGTTGTTATCGAATTTCTTCTGACTTGATTTTATTGGCGCGATACTAACTGAATGTATTTCTGCGACATCAGCGCTGGAGATCATTGGACTTGTCATTGCCTGTACTTTCGTACCCGAGGTAGCAGAATTTGATTTCAATAAGTGGGAGGTATTGTGCCCCGTAAGTAAAGATAAAACTTTGTTCTGAGTTTTACTATTTTGTCTATCAAGCGCAACTTGTCTTTGCATTTCACGAATTATACGTTGTTGTTCTTGCACTCGAGCTAAACGCTCCAGTTCTTCACGTTGAGCAGCAAGTGTAGATGCATCTAATTGGTTATCATCCATAACCTCACGGATATTTTTACGTAAATTAGATACTTTATTTCGTTTATCATCACTTTCTGATATACTTTTTTTGGATATTTGTTCGAGAGATATTTCAGCACTTAAATCGAATTCAGGTAAAGGTTTTCGATCTATTTTCGATACAGGTGCCAAACTAATTTCATCCATGACCTTCAATTTTTCCGAAATCTCCATAAAATCTAGTTCATTAGCAGGATTATTAAAATTTTCTGAACTCTTTTCTATTTCATCCGCATTTTGTTGAACTTGTTTGATCGCCGCCACTACCATTGTTGAATCACTGTTATCTGATTCACATTTTTCGTTGTCTTTTTTAATCAAATCATCTACACTTTCAATAATGTCGGCAAGTGCTATTGTTTTTTCGGAAGCGATTCCGCTAGGAACAAGAATATCGGTAATACTTAATTCTTCCTTCATTACTCTACATTCCTCAGGCAGTTTAATAGTTTCGGTAGTTTTTTCAGGAGATGTGTCTGACGGAAGAACGTTTTCAATACACATTTTATTGAAATTGTTTTGCATATTATCGTTTTGCATCGATATGTCTTCCTCATTAGTCACAGTATCGAGTTTAAATTTTTTACATTTGTCACTGCCATCATCACAATATGAATATTTTCTCTTTGTTTCATCACTACTACTAGTAATAACATCGGAAATGTCTGGCACGAAATCAGTTGGCACAAGCAAATCCTCTGTATCATCGATTAACGATTGTTTTTTTACCTTATCTTCATCATTAAATTTGATTTCAATACTTGAACTTCCAGTAGTAGCTTCTTTTTCAATAGTTGATTCTTCTTCAGGTAATTTGGTACGTTTTTCATCAAAATCGCCATCATCTGGTGACTGCGGCTCATCTTGTGAACTTAATAATATTTCTGTTATCGGGCGCTCAATTTGTAGTACTTCCAATTCAATTGATTTTGTTTCATTGTGAAAATGTTGTTTTTCGGTTTTTGATTCGTCGAATTCTTCATGCATTTTACTTTTTGAGTTTTCAACAAATGTTGGTATATCATCATCATCCCCATTTTTTGAACATACTACTTCAGACTCATTTGGCTTAGCATTTACCTTGTCATCTTCATTTGTTTCATTCATGATTGCCTATTTTCGGAATACATATACCTAAAAAAATAAATTAAATTGTTATACTAAAAAAAATGAAGAACTACGTTATATATTGTTACTACGATGTATATTGTTTACGATATAACTACTATTATTATTTGCTGTAAATTTGCTCACAACACTATTTGTAAATTAAAATAAAAAATTATTCGAACTCGTAATTTTTCTTGCATTCTAATGATTTCAATAGGATCATGTAGTAAAATTAAAATTTTCCAACTACTCGCTTCAACAACAATAAAAAAACACAAGCTATTCGACGAAACAAGGATACACAAAATGGAATTTCACTCGATTGACCTTTTTCAAATTTGATAAACTTTGATTATCAAAAAATTAGTCACATTAGTCATAGTAGGATTTGTAATAATTGAACACATTGTATGTACCTTCCTTAAATCAATCAATATTTTGTGGTGGACAATAACATTGCAAAAAAATTCTTCCCCAAAAGCTTCAAGCTTCACTGAAACAAATAAACTACTGTGAGCGATTATCGATGATAGTATTTAAATATCCAAAAATTGGTGCTTTCATTATGTTGTTAATCTTTTTTTACTGCTATTAGGAACAAATACTTTCGTACACTTTCTATTCATATAATAATTAATTTTTTTACGGCAGCCATCATGGCGTTCTCTTCCCCAAGTCTCATAGTTTTTTTAGTTGTGTTTTTTGATGTTTATGTATTCGTTTCAGTATACGGCGAAAAAGGAGGAGACCGACTGATTTTGACAGTTGAATCGCGCATAACAAAATGCATACAACGAACCAAACATACGTTTTCAAAATGTCAAACGTTGTTTTTAATAACATGTATGTGCGTATGTGTGTATGTGTGTTGCAAGCAAAGAATTATGAACTCTATTAAATAAAAAATAATGGATAAACATATTTCTCCATTTTAAATTTTACTTTATTGCATTGAATTTTTTCGTAAATGAATTCTATCAGAACTATTTAAAAAAACGGTTTCATGCTGCTAGTGCTTCTGCTGCTTTTTTCTTAGCAATACGTTCTTTGCGAACCATTAGCCGTCTTTCACGTTCATATTCCTTCATTCGTAATATATAACTGTGGGATGACAAAAAAAAGAATATAGAATGTAATGGTAATTAAAACAACAATAACAATATATTTACTCATCATATTGACACAATGCTTGGGCATGTTTTTCATGTGAACATTTATAAGCCAATGGCCAAACATCTGCAATACATCTTAAATAGTCAATTTTGGTATGAGCACAATAATCTCGTTCCTCTCTTGGCAATTTTGCTGAAATCATTTCAGCTTCAGTAGCAATCATCACTGTTAATGAAAAGACTTGTTTAAATATAAATAAAACTAACTTCCGTTTGAGCGACACGTAATATGAGTTCTTACATAACAAGAATCGATTTACTTTTCATCAATTATTTATTTACTTTTTTATTTATTTACTTTTGGTAAAAATAATTTTTATTCCTTATTATATCACATAAATTGAATTTTAAAAACGAAATAAGATTCAACTGACCTCTTTCTTTCCTTCCATTTGGAAATCCATACAGTGGATCAAATGTTATTTCTTCATTGTATGGTGTCACTTCTAAAAAAAATCGAAAAAGATAACAAGCAAACATATATAGATCGTGTTATTATGTTTTAATAATAATTCATATCAAATTGAATGTTTATACAATATACCTGGTTTTGTGTATCTTGCCCAAGCGCTTCCCATTTTGATGAAATGGAAGCGGTACAAATCTTCGGAAAATTTGATCTTCTCTCAATTTTTATGAAATAACAAATTGTCATAATAACCAAGTTGATGGTGTTTTGACAACCGTGCTTTTTACGTGTGAGTATTGCCTAGATGTCGCCTGTGATTCTTTCTAGTATAATTTAGGTTGTGCATTTGTGGCTACAGAATTTGTTTTTTATTTAATTTTATTTTTCAAAACATCTTTTGAATGTATCATGTCTTCTTGGATTGAACAACGAAGTAAATGAATAGAATAAGAAGAAGGGTGGGGGAAGAGGAGAATGAGCAATGAAGCTCCAAATACAAAAACATCAAATCACACACTTAAGTGCATGCAAAACGTTTCAAAAAAATTAAAATTAAAGTCAAATTTATTGATTTTGTTTTTAGTAACCAATATTTTAAGTGTGAATGTAATTTTGAATGTAAACGAGGTCATACAAAGAAATGACAATTATTGAATTTTCTCGTAGCGTTTGGTTGTTAAATCAATCCTCCTCCGTCATCACTTTCAATATCTGCAGCCTCATCCATATCTACAAAAATAAGTTATTTATTTGATATTTCTTTGATTACAATCATAACATTTACCTTCCTCATCTTCCATTTCCTCATCGCTATTTTCTTCTTCGTCAGATGTGGCTTCTTCAGACTCAGATTCTGATTCAGATCCTCTTTCCAAAATATCACGAAATTCCTTAACGGTGATTTTTTTTGGTACAATTTGATGTAAAAATTCAAGTTTTTCTTCCTCCTGTACAAAGCTTGATAAATCATTGTAGTTCAAATCTTTTTTATGTGAACATCTTTTATGTGTTTGTTGTGTTAAATACGAAATGAATAATTCCTGTAAGATATTTTTATAAAATATCATTTACGACAATAAAGTATGAATGTAAGTTACTCACTGCCGCTTTTGTAACAACCAGTACAGATTCCTTTGATAGAAAGGCACTTGGATCTCCACAGCTTTTCATTATTGTTCGTACCTAAATCATATAGAAAAAATGTATTTAATGTAAGTTGTAATGAAACATAAATAATGAATTTTAAATTGCCAAATAAAAGTTCATACCTTATTTGTAGGGAGCAATCTTTCATCTGGTTTTTCTACCATTTTTCAACGTTTTCGTTTTTTTGTAGCGAAGCGTGCGAATCTTGTATTATTGTTATTAGTTTCTCGGTTTTCCAAAGCAGTTCCTCGAATTAATGATTCAGTTGAATTCGCTCTACAGTATATTGTGGTTATGTTACGAAAATTTGTCCGCTCTTTTATTGTTTGACTTCCACCATTTTGACATAAGCAATTAGTTTTACGATTGCAGCGCTCGAATAGACTAGATGACAATTTTTAAATAGTTTCATTCAATAAGAAAAAGAAAGTCGCCACACATGTAAGAATTTTTTTTCAAAAGATTTAATGATTGATAATTTTCAAAAGATTAGCTTTCAAAGATAATTAGTTCCAAATAGAAGAAATTTTTTGAATTCATATTAAAAATGTATTATAGAAAAAAAATTTATCAAATAAAAAATACTAATATCGCTTTTTTTTGCAGGTTATGTGCCACATGTGGTTGTGATATTGAAATTCAGGTTAGGAAAAAAATTTGTTAAAAACACTATTTTTATTTAAATGATGAGTTTTCTACAATTTCTGACATCTCTAATGAGCACATTGCTTTGATTAGTATTGCATACTACTGACAATAGAATTGTATATTTCAAAATAGAGATATATTCATAAATATATTTAAAAAAAACGTTATTTATTTTTTCATAGGTTGCTGCGCTGTTGAAAAACCATCAATGAGGTAATTTAAATAATTTAAATAAACCATCAAGACGCAAAATCTGTTTGAGTGATGATTTTCTATAAACTATTTTCTGACATCTCTTCTGAAGGTTTTCATTGAATTTATACAGAAAAAACTGATTCATTTTTGAGATTTAAGTTATTATGATTGTTTTTGGTGTGTTCCAATTTATTTATTTCTGTTTTATTTTTAGTCAAGGTAATCCAAATCAAAATTATGGACCCAGATGACGTTTTTAACGTAAATTTTCAGGATTATTTTATATCAGAAGACTGGCAAAGTTTTCAAACGTTCGATAATGAATTGATATGCAAAGCTGAAAGTTTAAGTACAAAATGGACTTTGTTATTCAAGTGCTACTCTTCATCTGACGAAACGCGCATTATGAAAACCACTGGAATTAATATGAAGCACAACCTTCAATCCAACAAAGAATCAATTAGTGAAAAGCATCATTTGATTTTATTGGACAAAAGATATTTTCAGTTTGACTGTTCGTCCGAACCAGACTCTTCGTCTGAAACGTGCAATCAACTTTCAACGAAGACGACTTTACATAACATCAAATCAAACAAAAAAAAGAAAGAAACAATAGCTTTGGCTGGAGGTCCACCCGATGTAAAAGTGAAAAGCACACGACATATTCGCCGCAGCATAGATCTCACAAAAAATACAAATTCTTCACTACAATTTAGACTGTAAACTATAAAATTCAAAATTGAAATATAAATTATAATAAATATATATATATGAAATAGTAAATAAATATTATTAATAAATTTAATTGTAATATATTCCCAAGACTGTCGTAACAGCAGCGCGGTGAGCTTATCGATGCCGCTTCTGAATCATACGTGTTATTCATAACGAAATTGTTATACACAACCCATATTCACATGCAACAAGGCAACAATAATTGACCGTGTCTCAATCAGAAATTTAATTTACACGTTATACATGCCACATTCGATTCGTTCGTATGTAAGAGTCGATTGAGCCTGATATCAGTTAAATTGTTTCATTAGAAAACAACAACTAAATACTTTTTGATTGACAAAATGTATAAATTTCAAAAATTACAATAATTTAAATGTAAAAATATTTTAACAACTAAATTGATTACCACAGTATAGTATACTATTAGTTTGAATATAATACAAAACTATTTTTGAAGTGGTTATAGCTAAAAACGAAAAATTTGAGAATTCAAATATTGTTTCTAAAAGAGTTTAAGAATGAAGTATAAAACAAATTCAAAATTCCATTACTTTAAATAGTTTTTTTTTTGAACGAATATATGGTGTCAAACAGAATAATAAATCGTACAAAAGTAAGTAATTCATTTAACATGTTTTAGCTATATATTTGGCGTCATAGGTCATATGCCACTTAATGAGTTCCAATTCAGACAACAATTTTATTCGAAATTGATTGCTTACAGACACTCAATTGTATGCACATGTTATTGATAAGTCATTAGTATTGCTGATGCAGCAATTTCAAATTAGTCAGCGAATTTTCTTTCTCGTTGAATAATTACTACGAATTAATTGAAATAAAATCCAAAAGTTATTTTTATTTTTTAGCAAGCATAAATATCATAGTTATTACTATGTAAGTGACATGTATTCAAATTAATATGTTCATACTTATAAAAAATTATGTGTTGCAAACACGTTATGCTATGTACATTTTTGTGTAAATAAAAGTCATTCAAATAGAATAACGAGTCAAAGCATTGTTTTTGTGTTGTAATATACAAAATCATCATCATTTGATTTTGATATATAAGATTCAATTTTTTTGGTGCCTTATAAGCTATAGTATTTTACAAAACTTAGCCATACATTGAATAAGAAGATAAGAGGTATTGTCTTAAGAAAAATTATCGCTGTCTTAATGATTTTATTCATTATTGACAAGTAAGTTTTATAAAATTATTCTTTTTTTTTGCCATTAAGTATTTTTTAAAGCGATTAAACCATCAACATTTTTTAGCTTCAAAATAAATTATTGCTCGTAAGCTCGGGAAAATTATGTTCTAAGAAATGTGTATAACGAAAATTAGATTAAATGTTTTGAAACATCATTTTTGTATTCGCTATGGATTGTAGGGAACGACGAAAGAATCAAAACAATGAATTTCACCACAGACATGTACTCATACATATAGGTACAAAAAACCAAAGCAACAAAGTGTTGCGAATAGCTTCACAATGTGTCAAACAATGAGCATACATTTTAGCAGTGAAATGGAATAAACATAAAAATGCATGCGTCCTGCATAAATATATGTATTTTCTCTTTTTCGCTCTAGTGGCGCCATCTATAAGCTACTTAGCTTGAAAAGTTCTGAGTTCGTGATATTTTTTGAATAAACTGAAATTAATAACAATGAAAGTATTTTTAAACGACTGTTTAAAAAATGCGCGTGGGACACTAGAGCTTCGTATATTTGAATTTCGCGAATCTTGCGAATAGTTCGCATTATTTCAATATCAAGCAATTCAATGTATGCGTTTTTGTGGCGTTGTGACCATATTTAATACAGTTGTGAACCTAATAAAAGATTTGCTATTGGCATTTTGGCCAAATGTTACATGTGCTTATGCAAAATAATGAATTATTGAAATGTGTTCACAGTTCGCAAGATATGTCGCTTTGGACGACGACTAGTACAACTGGGCTAGAAACAGCTCTCACTGCTGCAATAGGTTCCACATTACAACAGCAACAGCAACAACAACAAAAACAACAACAACATCAACACACAATAACAAACAATCTAAAAGGTCAATCACAAATCTTGCACATCGGGAAAATCGGTGGCACATCGACGGGAGCATCGAATCAGGGAGCTTCGGTAGCTAGCAATCTTCACCACCTGAATCACAACAGTTCAAGCAGTAGCAACAATATAAACATTAATCATTTGCAAAATCACCTTCATCACCACAATAATAATCCGCACAATTACAATAGTAAGTATGGCACCTTAAATCTTTTAATTATATTTATTTGAATTTTTGAGTTGATAAAAGTTCATCAATCTAGTCAGTAAATTTGTGACGTAAATTGGATTGTACGAAAAAATGTCATTTACACATTAATAACCGGATGAAAATAAATTCAAACCTTTTCCTTTCAGTTCATCAACAGTCAATTTTGGGTCGGGCTTCGAACATTTATAGCAATCATCCAATAGTAAGTAGAAATGAACAGAGATGTTTTGCCCTTGCGAAATAAACGAATCAAAACGTCCACAAAAACTTGCTAGATAATTTGCATCCCCTTAAATTCCTTTAAACCGATATTTATAAAAAAATAAAAAAAATTAAATTCGAATTATCATAATGCTCCTAATTCACAAATCAATAAGGAACGGGTTCAGAATATCAATGCGTTTTCGCTAATTCGCTTTTATTTTTTTTGTTGTGTTAAATTGAATTCATATACAATTATACATATAAATTGACATTTTTATTCTGTCGAGACTTACACAAATAGGATCAAAAATTGTCCTTGAACATTTTTTTCACAAATTTTGACGAGTGGACGATTTTCAATAATAAGACTTCAATAGAAAATAGAAAAAATAACAAACTTCAGAAACAAATATTCAAATGTGGCAATCATAAAAAAGCATGCAATATTTAGAGAATTTTATGATGTTTTTATAACCATAGTAGTGGGGAAAGCTTTGGTGTCACAACTACGATACACACAGTCAAAGGTATTCAAGCGAAATACAACTTAACAAGAGATAACAGTAGAAATGACAGAAGTGAATACAGTGTGAAAAAGACGCAATGTGTCAGCATATGTAAAAATGTAGACTCTTGGAAAAGTGAATTTACTGTGCACATTATAATAACATAAATGTTCGCGTTTGAAAATTTACAATTATTTTCATATATTTATTTATATTACTGAGAGGAAAAACAGAACCATACACTACCGATACTGTCACATTTTATTCGCTGAATTTGTTAAAAAAAATTGATTGTTCCCAATATTTTTTCGTTCTCCAGACGTCAAAAGGTTAAATCTAATAAATGTTTTTACCATGTCTAATTAAAAGAAAATAAATTTTACTCTAATCTATTTAAAAATAGCAAAAACGAACTTGTGCAATGTCACAGTCTGGAGACGATCTACATTCACCCAGTTATTTGTCATGGAGAAAATTGCAATTAAGTCGGGCCAAATTGAAAGCGTCCAGTAAAACTTCTGCCCTTTTATCCGGCTTTGCCATGGTATGCCACCATATTCACAAAAATGGCATTATATTATATCTTTTTATATATAATATTTTTCAGGTTGCAATGGTTGAGGTACAGATCAACAATGACACGCATGTACCTCCTGGAATGCTAGTAGCGTTTGCTATATGTACAACACTATTGGTAGCTGTTCATATGTTGGCTCTGATGATTAGTACATGTATTTTACCAAATATTGAAGCTGTATGTAATTTGCATAGTATTTCGCTTGTACACGAATCACCACACGAACGACTTCATTGGTACATCGAAACGGCTTGGGCTTTTTCTACACTACTAGGTCTCATATTGTTTTTGATCGAAATCGCCATTTTATGTTGGGTCAAGTTTTATGATTTAAGTAAAGAAGCTGCATGGTCAGCATGCATCGTACTCCTACCAGTATTGGTAGTTTTTTTAGCTTTTGCTATACATTTTTACCGTTCCCTTATGACACACAAGTACGAAGTTACTGCTTCTGGCATCAGAGAATTGGAAATACTCAAAGAGCAGTTGGAACGAGGGGGTAATTTAAACTTTTTTTTTTTTATCATCATTATTTACATTTTTTGTTTCAGAAATGGAACATGATCATCTTGAGCATCATCGAAACAATGGCATGCATTTTCCGGGTAGTGAGCTAGGGGCAATTCACTTAAAAATTGCTTTTCTAGTATTTAATATTTATTATTGGTTCTGTTAATAATCATCATTTACATTAATTGTAATATATGTACTACAAGATTTCCAAATGATGATGTTGTTAGAATCAGAGTGTATGTGAGATAGAGAGAAAGAGCGTGTGGAAACCATTAGAATGTAGGAAAATATAGTTTGACCACACATATATAAGAGAAACATAAATCGTCACAACAAATTGATGAAATATTGAGATTCGGTAGTGGTTGAGGCGAAACAGTAGCTCTTATTTTTCTCCAAATAATACTGCAACATGAAGTTTTTTTCACACGGTTTATTTGTTGTAATACAACAAATAAACTATTCATAAAAATCAAATCAACGTTGGACACACAATCGTACCACATCGACAACATGGTGGCGAACGAATTGGAACCGGGCCAAAAGCAATATGCGTAACTGCCAAGCAACGACGATACAATAGATGCAAGTTTTCGTTTTTGATCGTGACCTGAATGTATTCCCGTGTGCAAAAGAAGTGACTGTCTAGCTGAAATTAACCGACAATGAGTTTTCTGAACTGTAGTCGTCTAGTTATCTGATTTTAAACAGACGACTTATTTGAGACATTATATGGCTGTAGCCGACTGTGGATTTGGAGTTGATTTAATTTATATTTTTCAGTTCGAGAATCAACTAATAAGTCAAACAAATATACAAATATACTTTAAATAAGTTTCAATCTAAATTGGCTTAAGTCATGGGAGCGACGTGAAAAAACTTGATATCAGCGCCAGTCCCTCATAACTTAAACTGGTACAAATTCGCAATAGATGGCGCTTATAAATCGACAAACACGCTTACATTTTATTAGAAGAAAAATGAAAAATATTGCAATATTTTTAAATTGGTTAATTTAAGGGTTTCAATTTAATTCAAGTTAAAAGATGTGATTCTAGTGCTTCTTTTGTTTTCAATGGTTTTTAATGAATTATAGAAAATATCAAATGTGATATTTGTTGTTTCGATATGTCGAAAATGTTGTATTGGTTGATTGTCAAAATGCAAAGAATTTTTCGGGAAGAAATTTGTTTAGATTTATAAATTTATAAAATATTTTATGCACTCAATTTATTTTATCATATATGATATCTCAGTGAGCCTTTGTGCACATGTATTATGTTGTCTGTCAGGCTATACTGCTCATTATACACAACAGTGTCGAGTGTAGCACACTGTAGTGTACACTATACGATATACATGATGTACACTATAGTCAACACCGTTGCGTGTGTATCTTGTCGACAGTCAGTATAATGAAATATCATATATGATAAAATAAACTGAGTGCTTTAAAATATCTTATAGAATTATAATTATAACTGATTTCTTTTTGAAAACTTCCGTACATTTTGAAAATAAACCAATACAACATTTTTTGACATTTCGAAACAACAAATATCACATGTGATATTTTCTATAGTACTTTAAAACCATTATAATCAGAGAAGCACTAGAAGTCATTCCATTTAAATGTATTTAAATTAAAATCATTAAATTTAATATTTTGAGGCACATCTTTAGTTTAAGGACACATTAATTGGAGCGATTTTTTGCTTCTTTTTTGTATGTTATGAGTAGTTGGGAGTCTGGTAATGTGTTATCTGTGGTGCGATTTTAGATTTTTTATTTCATAAAAAAAAATTGGTTCAGTTATTCCCTCAGTGAAATTGAATGTAAAAAGAGTATTTACCTTCCACCGATGAGTATAGAATGGATATTGCGTGTTGAAATTAAATAGCATCATTTCTGTGTTGGCAAATCGTAACGGAATAAAATTTCTAATGCGCAATAAACAACATGAGATGCGTGCGTCACACAGATATGATGCTATTTGATAGATAAGACGCAATATCCATTGTATACTCATCGGTGGAAGGCAAATATTCTTTTTACATTCAATTTCACTGAGGAATAACTGAACAGATAACACATTACCAGACTCCCAACTACTCATAACATACAAAAAAGAAACAAAAAATCGCTCCAATTAGTGTGTCCCTAAACTAAAGTTATGCTTATTTTGAAAATATTTCAAAATTTTTCATTTTTCTTCTGATAAAATATAAGTGTGTTTGTCGATTTATAAGCGCCATCTATTGAGAATTTGTACCATTTTTAGTTAAGAGGGACTGGCTCTGATGTCAAGTTTTTAATCGTAAGTTTCACATCGCCTGGCTTAAGTCAAAAACATATCAAATATAGTTTAAATAAGCTTCAATCTCAGTTTGCTTAAGTCAAAAACATATAAAATTAGCTAATTGACTAAGTCAGTAATTTTGCACACGGGTCACGCAATATGATATAAAAAGATACTGACAAAATTTTCGATTTTTTATTTTTGAGAAAAAAAATAAAAAATTTTTTTGGGAGGCACCTTTATTTTTGGTTGAAATTTCATGAAACTTGGTGATATTACTTATTTTGGTCAGAAAATAAGATTCACAAGTTTTCATGGTGATTGGGTCACTGTAATTTTTCATGATTTTCCAGTAAAATATACCTCCATTCCTCTCAATTCGGTGTCTTATATGGAACCGCAAGTTGAAAATTCCTTCAAATCCTGAATCTTGGGTCTATAAGACATGTTTTCAAAGTGGCCATAAAATTAGGCCAAAAATGTTCCACCATAATAAGTAGCCGTTGGGGCAAAATGCGAATAATATTGGCTAATTGAAAGTCAATTTTGTTTTGCCAAGTAGTTTGTTTCTTACCGGTAAAGTACTCAAAGTGTTACTAAAAGTTTTCAATTTCACCTATACAGATCGATGTAAAGTGCCGAAAAAATAAGTTTGTGAAAATGAGGGGCCCAATCGAACTAGGGGGCGCAGGGGAATACCCCACCATGTCAAAAATTCATCGGATCAAAAAATAATGTACTACAAAGTTGTTCAGAATGACGAGAGAAATTTTCTAGGACCCCTGTCCTCCAAGTCCCTCCACCCCCCAGGAGGTCGGGGGTCATAACTCCTTCACCCATGACTTTTTCCACTCGAAACCTCGAAATTCGGAATCAGTATGCCAAAATATCCTAGAAATGAAATTTGTCTCGATCCCATTCACCCCAAGTCTTCACCTGCAAGTTTATTTTTTGGGCACTTTATATCGATCTATATAGGTGACATCAAAAACTTTTACTAACTTTTTGGGTATTTTACTGGTGAGTAGTACGGTGTCACATTTCACATCAAGCCCTGACAAAGACTGACAGTGTATTTAAAAGATGAGATATTACCAACGTTTGCCAAATATGTAAGTGAAATTTATGTCGGATTGAGGTTGGAATCGAGAAATCACGAAAATCGCAAAATTCAAAGAATCCAAAGAAATCACATAATCCACATTGGATTCATAGGTGTCTAGCCCCTAGATTAACGATAACAAGTAGCGAATCAGTCACGGAATTGAATTATTATTATTATTTATTTATTCACCGTCTGATCACAGACTGATTTTATCACAATTATTTACAATATAATTTGCAATGAAACACTACCCGATCGAATACCAGGTGCCAGTCTTATCGACTTCGGAGCAGCAGTTATCGACTGTGTCCATTGTATATTACTATTCATAACACAATTTTTCTTAGTCTATTTTACCGAATATTAAATAACAAATTTTCCAATTTAACAATAATATTTCTAAAAATGTGTCTCGATGCCGATTCCAAAAATGTTTCTCTTATTAAATTAAAATTCCTACACGCCACGTAAAATGGTTGACTATGTGCATATTCAGCTGTAAACATTCGTACTCTAATAAGTTCAAATTTCTTTGGTTTACGTTATATTGCTGTCTTGTGTATACAATCTTATCTCTAAGCGAACGCGACACTATTTTACCCAATAAGAGATCGTAAATTAAAAATATAGAGGCATTTATATGCCGTCTCCAAAGCGGTTGAATACTTAAAACATCACATCTAAACTGATACGGTGGCAATACAAAATTCTCATCTCTTTGGTAAACAAATCTTAACGACCATATCACAATTTTTTTCTGAATTGACTCTATTCTATCGGAGTGTATACGGTGGTATGGTTGCCAAACTATACTCGCGTACTCTAACTTTGATCTGACTAGCGCCACTAGACATGGCATCAATGGGCGATTGTATTGTTCGTATCTGTTTTAGATCGTCTGCGAATAATAAAACAAGTGCATTTGTTACGGTTTCGACAATGTCATTAATAAAAATAATAAAAAGACATGGTCCCAAGATACTTCCCGCAGGTACTCCCGATGACACAGTGAAAGTTCTTGACTTTCTTTCCCCGATTCCAACAAAATGTGTTCGTGCTGTCAAATATCCATGGAACCATTTGACAAGTTGTCGGCCGAATCCAAAGAGCACCAACTTCTTCAACAATTTCTTGTGGTTCACACGATCGAAGGCCTTCTCAAAATCTGTGTACAGCACATCCGTTTGACATTTTTTGACCATTGAGTCCATCGTGAAATTTACCATTTGCAGTAAATTTGTTGAGGTTGATCGATTTTTCACGAATCCATGTTGATTGTGGCTGATTTTCGCATTAACAAATGTTTCGATTTTGTCATATACAACAATTTCAAACAATTTGGCTATTGTTGGTATTATCACGATCGGCCGATAATATTCGATGCACTGCTTTTCTTTCCAGACTTGAATATTGGAACAGTCCTGAATTTTTCAATGCTGCCGGAACACATCCTTGATGCAAAGACTTACGAAATAGCATTGTTAACGGCTTTGTCAAAGTATGCGCACAATTTTTCAGTAGTTTTGGTGAAATACCATCTGGGCCGGCTCCTTTGTTTACATTAATCGCTTGTAGTGCTTTCATCACGTCTACTTCATTGATGTCAATGTCAAACGAGATGTCACCGCATTCACTCAGCAATTGATCCAAGTCGATATTGTCGCTCTGTGTATACTGATTTTCGAAAAAATCAGCAAATAATTCCGCTTTCGATACGTCTGTGCTCGCAGTCTCATTGTTGTATTCAACAATAGGCGGAATGTCACTTCTCTTTCTTCTGTCGTTTACAAATCGCCAAAAATGTTTTGGATTTGCTCTGATTTGCAATTGAATGCGGCTGATGTACGACTTGAACCACTGGCTTTGTAACTGCATGAACGAATCTGTGATGGCATTGTATTCGTCAATGTTAATTCTGTTTTTTATATGGATAATAAACGAGTACACTTGCCATTGTAAACATTTTTTTTTTTTTTTCACAGAATCGAGTTCTCAACTACTACTAAATCTCAAATTAAAGCAATGTTGTTACAATTGTAACACAATTGTGTGGTTATTGCTACAATTCACTTTCCTTTGCAATTTAATTTTCATTAAATCTTTCTATTGTTTCGATTATTTGTTGATTATTTCTTTTCTTTTCTCATTCTTCCCTAGGTAGTGAGGTTGTTTAGTCGAAAAAATCGTCGAAACAAAAAAACCAATGAAAATAGAACAGCTCAAAAGAACCGTGTATTATGTATGATATATCGTGTCTGATAAGAAAATGTTTCAATTTTTTGCACGTACAATACCAAATGAGGGGAATTGTGAAATTGTGTACAACTTTTGTTTACATTTCATTGAGATGAATTGAATATACAATTTTTTACTATAGCTATAAATACACATTTTTTACTATAATATAACTAAAATGCAATTAAAAAATTGTAACATTTTCCGTATAATTTAACATTAAGATATGTAATATTCTGAGCCATTCTGTGCCCAATTCAGTGTAAAATGGAGCGTATAGATTTTATGCAAGTTTCCAATAAAAAGATACCAATGGAATGATTTCTCTTCTTTCAATTGAAGGAACAAATTGTAATGCAAATTCACTCATTACCAGGCACAAATTCACGGTCAAATTTGGACCCGGATTTGTATGTAGTCATCAGTCATTCTCACGGTTGCCATACGGTTAGATAATACGAAAGTCCACGCTAAATATAGCCAGACTTCATGATAAGAACTATTAACATTGTTCCTTAAATTAAACTAAAAATTAATTTTTCATTAATTTGTTTGATTCATTGATTGTTGATTTTAATGTGCGATGTGCAGTGTGTGAACGATGCTATTCTCAGTTTTCGCCATCGTCGCTAGAGCTACCACTACCGCTATCATTACTATCATCACTGTTGTCTGACAATTCACTGTTGCTCAAATCGATTGCATCTTCTTCGCTGCTTCACGACCACCATGACTGATCCGAATCGTATTCAGCTTCATTGGAATTTTTTGATGTTTGATACTGAAATACACACATCACATGAATTCGAAAATTATATCCAACGAATAATGCAGCTCACCTTTTGTTGCTTTTTACGCTTATTTTCATCAAATTGTTTGAAGCGTCGCTCTGCATGCTGATCTTGTATCTTGGCATTGACTGTGAATGCATCTGGCAATTTTATTCCCACCAGTTCATAATGACCAAAATACATGTATGATGAAAATTGAATATTAGATTCAAAGTTATATAAAAAAATACCGCGAAGTCGAATATTTCGACCGGCATTAGTGTCTCGATTCAATGTAACCGAACGGACTTTTGTCGTATCACCAATATCATCATCATTTCGTATGTATTTCCATGCGATGACATCTAGGCGCCGACGTCGCAAATGTGTTCGTGGCCTCTTCACTGATAATATCGCAGCATTTTCAGCAGCCGGCACAAGCATTCCATCGACCATAGCGTTTCAGTTCGACTTTTGGCTGGCCGCCATCGTCGTCCGAATTCCGTGGGCGATATTTTTTCTGCTTCTTCAATTGTTTTGAATTCTTGTGACTGTAAATGAATGAACCGCCATCGGGCAGTGCTTCTGGCGATGGCTTACATTGGCGACACACTTTGAATCGAGATTTCGTTGTCTTTCGGCCATTCTTCGAATCATTTTCCAGTACATTGAAGCAACGGCTACATAATTTTGTTGTTCGATACTCATCCACGTAGTGCACGGTACATTGTGGATGTTGTTCGAGTGCTTTGAATAGCAAACGAACACTTGTACGTACATAGCCTTTGCATGGTGAATTTGCATGGGTGAACGGCGCCTTGCCGACAAACACAAATGTATGTTTACCATGCCCTTGTGCAACAATCATTCGCACCAATTCACCAATCGTTCGATGGATTTCAATCCAATGCAATTAGTCAGTACATACGCTTCGCTGCCGTACACATCCATGGCCCGATTGAAAAATCTTAACGTATGGTCGGCGTACGTTTCAAAATCGTTCGTTCTACTGCTCGGCTGAACATGGTTCTCACACTCTCGTTCGATGCGCTCACGATCGTCGGCTCTGTCGTCTTCAAGCGTACCAACCAGTCGATCTCGTTGTTTCTTAAACTGTGGCAATTTCGTCATCCAATGATATTGCTTGCTGGATATTTTGAAATTGCGTACGCTTTTCACTTTCACAGCGCCCGTATCGTCTTTCTCTCGATCGATAATTTGGCCGGCAATGATTTCAACATCAAAGCTTACTTCGCGATCGCAGTGGCGTAATATATTTCGTAGCCGTTCTTTGATTGCAGCACCAGTTTCATCGTTTTTCTTCTTCGTCTTCTTCTCTTTGTTCATCAGAAAAACGAATGCATTGCCATCGGTTTGTATTCGATTGGCGAATGTTAAGCCGGCCGAATGGCGTTCGATTTTACTGATGCCGAAATATTTACGCCACATGCTATCCCACAGTTCTTTGTTGCCATTGAACGGTTGTTCCCATCGTTTATTACTGCCATTGTTCTTTTTCATTTCCTGTTCCTTTGGATTTTTCAACCGCTTAAGGATTTTGTAGAGGCCACGCTTGTCGATTTGGATGTAGATACGACCAAAAAGTGCCTCCGGAATGACATGATACACGGTCAAATTTGGCGCAAATCGAACATATGTATATTTGACACCTGGCAATCGTTTTCGTAGCACATATTCGGCAATTGAACGACAGATTGATTTCGATTTCGATTTAGTGTGAGTGGTGGTTTTATGAATTTTGGCTGCTGCTTCGGCCTGAAGTTTGGCCTTTGCTGCGGCAACTTCAGCCGGTTGGTTCTTTTCATCTTTATCCATTTATTTATTGATCATGAGACAGCGTTCACGATTTCTTGCACGACAATTTTGCTGTAGTTGTACGAAAACTGGCACATGACGATACCAATTTGTTCTCAATTTGGTGAAATAACCGCGTCGATTCGCTTCGAAATCCATCGGATTAAAATTGGTTTGAATACGCTTCAGAAGACGTTCGATAGCTGGTGTCAATAGAATTGGATCACGTTTTCGTTTTGGCTTTTTCACTTTCTTTTCATTTTGTCGCTTCTTCCGTTTGGCCGCTTCATCATCGGTGGCCTTTTTGCGTGGCGGTCGTTTCGATTGTGGCTTTTTCTTATAGAAATTCGGATTCTCTGCTTCGTCGCTGAACAAATAGCGCATTGTATTTGTATCGAACGCACGTTCGAGCACTACCACAACCAAAAAGCGCAAACTACAACGGTTGGCAAATGTCAAGTGCGACGTTTGCCAATCAGTCTCAATACAACCGCGAGCAAGAGCAGAGCAAAGGGTTTTTGCTGCCGATGTGCCGGCTTTTTCCTTCAATCATTTATTAAGCAAATAAAATATAAAGAAACTTAAAACAACATCTTTCAATTATTAGATTGATTCTTTACATTCCAGAGCATATTCTTTTTTTCAGTGCTTTATTTCAGCGGTGTGAGAATGAATAAATGAAATAGTGATAAGTACAATTTATATGTGAATGTAAGTATCTGAGCTACGGAACATTATGGTCCTACCCGAATCGGAAACGAGCTGAGAGTGCGTGAGAAAATAATATTTTTTTTTTTAATGAGTTAACAAAAATTATATTGGTGCAATTTTGTCATCGTGAGAGATAACAACATAAGTGTGAAAATTGCAAGAAAAAAGTGAAGTGAATAAAATTGCGTAATAAAAAAAGATGACGCAATTAGGCAAAAAATTGCGAAAATGGCATGAGCGCCGCCATATTTATTAATCAGAAAGGAGATTTTTTCTTGTCTGTATTTTCAGAAAAATCAACTGCAGAGGCTAGCTAGCATCATCATCAACGTTGGCGTGTCATGACATCATCATACAAATTTCGTAAGAAAAAAGGTCCGAGAATATTCTCGGGCGAAACGGTATATCAAAGTGATCTTTGATATACAGAGCATGAGATGAGCAAAATTCGGCGTAGAATCAGTGCATAGTTAACACGATGTTAATGCATGATTTGCGCACGAACACATTGCCGTAGCAGCAATGGAAAATTCCAGAATGACGTAGTCACTGGCAATATGTAAAACTTAGTCAAAGTGAACTTTGATGTACAGAGCATGAGCGGAGCTAAATTCGGCGTAAAATCAGTTAACAGCCAACACAATGTTGATGCATGATTTACGCGCAATTACATTGCCGTAGCAGCAATCGAAAATTCCAGAATGACGTAGTCACTGGTGATATTCAAACTGAGAGAGCGAGCAAACTCAGTCAACACGCTAAGGTTGTGTATAAAAGAGAGAAAGTGAGATGATCGGCATGGTATCGCCAAGAGAGCGAGCTATTGCGCGATTCGCATGCGTTCATCACACGAACACAACGGGTGGCGTGAGATCGACAATACCAAGACAATGTTGTGCGGTTTGCATGCGCTCGTAAAAAAGAGCAATAGAAATTTCCATTACGAATGTATCTTCGCTGGTTTGGTTGTGAACCGAACGAAATATGGAGAAAGCGAGACATTCACACTGACCACACTAATGTTATGTAAAAGAGCGAGAGAGTCACAGTGCGTACCGGTGCGAATTGCAACAATCTGTCATACATAGAGCGAGCTATTGGATTGTGCGAAGTAGCATGGTATGCGAGTGAAAAAGAGAAGAGTGTATTTTCAACACAATCTATTTATAGAAAGAGAATCTAATCAATAAATGAGCAAAGATGATTTGCACACGAAGTGGTGCGAACGAGATTATTACTAGATCATCTACTGAACAGAAGAGACTAAAAATGTCGGAACATTTGGTTAACCGCAATACTTGGGCTGATTCAATTCGTTCGATCGAAGCCTATTCTAAGAACGAAAATTTTAACGAGCAAACACTTGAGCAATTGCGTGCCAGAGACAACCATTTACAGAATAATGTAACAAAATTAAGTGTGAGTCACAATCATTTATTAAACACGGCAAATGAGCAAGAAAAAGAAGAGCACAAACGGCTGTATACCGAATTAGAGGAGATTTTCCTCGACACAACTGCGCGAATAAAAGCCCGTATAGCGGAATTAACCGCACCTGAGAAAACTTCGGAATGCGAATTTCCCGAGAATCAAAATAACGAACACCACAATGGTTCATTGAATGAGAGCTGTTCATCAACTCAGGTGGGCCGCCAGCAAATTATTGTAAAATTGGCGGACACCGGTAAAAGAGAGCGCACGAATTCGATTGGTGAAGTAGCTCATTCGCGTGGCTTTCGTGATCGCTTTAAAGTAGCTGTGCATGATAATGATCAAATTGCGAAATCATTCAAATTACAATACTTGAAAGATTCTCTAAAGGGCAGAGCAGCGCGTGAATTTGGCGATTGGCCATCCACAAATGAGCACTACGATGAATGTTGGGAATGGTTAAACCGCCGCTATGATCGTCCATACCAAGCCAGTAAAGAACTACTTTGGAAATTTTACAATTTGCCCAAACTTGAGCACGCATCAGGTGGACAGATTCAACGATTTAGTAACGTCACCAATGAAGTTATGCGC